ATAAAATTTAAATATTATTTGATAAAATTTAATATTAATTGAATAAATTTGGTCTTAATTTGATAAATTACAAATTAAACCCTAAAAGATTGTTAAAATTTTAATTCGTACCCTCAAAGATCAAAAATCTCAATTTGCACACTTAAAGATAGAAATTTGTATCAATGTGCACCCTTAAAGATCAAAAATCTCAATTTGCACCTCAAAGATAAAAATTTGTATCAATGTGCACCTAAAATTAAATTGATAAATTATATCTAGATCCCCTTATGCTTGTCACTTAATCATTTTGACCCCTTCACATTTAGAATATTACTGCTACATCTCATGACGTTTGTGCACGTGTAACACGTAATTCCTTTCGTTGATATCTGTTAATATAACCGTTAAAAAATATGATTTTATCCTAATAAACAATTATAATTTCATATCACCTTTTATTTTATGGGTCTAATATACTCTAAAGTTCAAAATCAAGCTTACCATTTGAATGTCTAATAGAATAAAGAGTTGCACATTGAGTGATATATTGCGTTGGATATAAAAATATTATATAAATATCTACATTTTATTGGACATTCAAATGATAAACTTGATTTTGAACTTTAGAGTATATTGAACCCACAAAATAAATGGTAATATGAAATTATAATTTTTTATTAGGATAAAATTATATTTTTTAACGGTTATATTAACAGATATCAATGAAAAGGGGTTACGTGTTACACATGCACAAACGTCATGAGATGTAAGAGTAATATTCTAAATGTGAAAGAGTTAAAATAATTAAGTGACAAGCATGAGGGGATCTATGTATAATTTATCAATTTAGTTTTAGGTGCACATTGATACAAATTTCTATCTTTGAGGGTGCAAATTGAGATTTTTTTATCTTTGGGGGTGTACATTGATACAATTTTCTATCTTTGAGGATGCAAATTAAGATTTTTAATCTTTGTGGGTCTAAATTGAGATTTGAACTATCTTTCGGGATGTAACTTGTAATTGACCCTATTATTTTGATGCTAATTTGGTAAAATTAAATATTAATTTAGTGTTGATTTGATAAAATTTATTTTTAATTGAATAAATTTGAATATTGCTTTAATAAAATTGAATGTTTGTCTGGTGTTAAATTAAATAAATGACATTAATTTGATAAGACTAAACATTAAATTAATAGAATTTAATATTCTATTTTATATATTAAATTTTAATTTAATAAAATTAAATGTCAATTTGGTTTTGATTTGATTAAATTAAATAATAATTTAATGCTATGTTAAAGAAATAATATTAATTTGATGAAATAAAATATTAAATTAATATAATTAACTGCTAATTTAATAAAATTAAATATCAATTTTGTGTTAAATTGATAAGATGAAATGTTAATTTAGTTTAAATTAAATAAATGACATTAATTTGATAAAATTAAATATTAAATTGATAAAGCTAAAGGCAATAATAGAAATAAAAGCGAGTGCATTGAAATTTCAGAATTGAGAGGGACTATTGTTAAAGTTAGGTCTCTTTACGGGAGGTATTGTTAAAGTTAAGTATATTTATAAAAGGTGTGGATAAAATTTATCTTATAAAATAATCAAAAATATTTTTGTAAATCAACAATCGTCATTAACGCTGTAACCCAAAAAGCACCGACAAGTGTGATAGTAAAGCTTCAGGATCAGGAGGGAGTGTCGTTGAATTTAGACATAAATACAAGAGGTATGAATGAAAATTTTCCTATAATAAAGTAGATGTTCTACTTGAGCTGTTTAGATTGTTTTGTTCTGACAGTTTAAAATTATAATATAACATTTTAATTTTTTAATTACAATAACTCATTTAAATTTTATTTACAATAATTCATTTAAATTTAAATTTTTTAATCATAGTAACTCAACCTATATTTTAACTTTTTAATCACAATAGCTCAACTCATGTATTAGATGATTATTTGATAACCTAATGGCCAACCACCCTGCCATTGGACCTAAAGATTGTGGGTTTAATTTAAACCTCACCCAGTAAAAAATTGTTCAAAAAAAAAAAAGAAAGACTCATGTATTAAAAAAAATATATGTTTTGCATGGGATACACTAGTCTAGAAATAAAATACTGCTAATACTCACATTTTCTTCCTATGTAATTTATCTCGTTTGGTCTTTTATCACTCTTATTATATATCTATCTCACTCTCTCCTCTCTCATTCCTTTATAATCATGATTCATGAGCCTGGGTGGCCGCTTGTAAGATCCAGTAGGGTTGATAATACCTCAACTACTCATGATCCAAATAAACTGTCCATTCAACATAATACTACTCTGTTTAAAACCCTGATAATTCAGAGTTTGTTTTTCTTAAAATAATACTTTTTTAAAAAATTATTCCCAAACTAACACTCTTAGAAAACTAATTACCTTTTTAATAACCAAGATTGCCATGTTGAAATTTTTATTTAAATTCTTAATATTGAAATCTAAAATTACTTCAAAGACTTTTAAACCTAGTAGGCAACTTGCCACCCAAAGGAAATAGGAGTATGTTTCTTCACTTCTGCCGAGAGACCAAAATCAACATATCATCCATGCTACAATACTCTTCATTCGTGTCTATGCGGTAAGACGTCTGTACACGCAGTAATACTCTTCATATCTGTACATTGTTCACCAATAGATTTTATATTTTTTATTCCAAGCAGAACTTATAAGAAAACTCAAGCGTAAAATACAAACTAATTATTACTTTGAATTTGTACCACTAATTCGTTGTTTCTGTTAGCATAGTTCAAGATTCAATTCAGATTTCTCCACAGTCCACGTCATACCACAGGCAACTCAGTAGTGCATCAACATTAACTTAGCAATATCTGCAGCATTACTAGATGATACGTTTGAATTTGGAGAGGAGGAAGAAAGAAGGAGACAAAGAAAAAGAGAAGAGAGAGAGGAGAACTTGAATTAATTTGATGACCCTTTATTGGGTTTCATGTGGTTGTATTTATAGCCAATACAGCAACGGAAAATACAAGTGCAGCAACTAACAGAGAGAAAATCAAGGGAATAGCAGTAAACTAGATAATGGCTAAAGAATATGAACAAATAGCAGCAGACTAGGAATTTTGCTAACGAACTGGGGTAGGCCCTCCGGAATCGCCAGTCAGTTTCTCAAGTAGCATCCTCGACGGGGTGCCGACCCGTTTGATCATAACTTCGGATTTCAGGCGGTATTTCCCTTTTTGTATTTCTCGCCGAGCCAAAATGGATTCTGGTTGAGGGAGAATAGTAGAATCATCTGCTACTGGAGGGAGATCAGTGGAGGTGGGACAATAGGCCCCAAGTGTTTGCGCCGGAGATTGACAAGGAAGGTGTCATGGATCCGTGATCTAGCTGGCAAATCTAGCTTGTAGGCTACAGGTCCCACCCGCTCAATCACTTTGTAGGGGCCATAGAAGCGCAGGAAAAGCTTCAGAGATCCACGAAATGCAACAGAAGTCTAGTGGTAAGGTTGGAGTTTGAGGTAGACATAGTCGCCGATATTAAACGAAACCTCGAGCAATGCTGATTGGCCTGGGTCTTAATTCGTTTTGATAAGGAAGAATCTTCTTCATCTTGTACATATCTTTCATTTCCTAGTTCATAGGATAAATCTCAACGGCATATATTTTGATTAATCTGTTTCCTATTATATTGGATCTGCCATTTGTAAATACATTATATATAATGAAACCGATAACCTCAATATTCACTTTGAAGAT